ACCTTTACCATTCATCTTTTATATTTCAACTAATTGTTACAATTTAAAAATAAAAATATATAAATAAATTTATATTCAAAATTTTTAAAAAATTTTTTTCTTTTTAAAATTAAAACGTTGATAATAAAGAAATCCCCTCTAAAATTATAAGAAAAAAATATAACTATACCATTATCTACTTGTACCAGTACTCCTGAAGAAATTATCATTAATTTATTATTATCTATTATTTATATAAATATCTAAATTTTATATGATTGAAATTTGCTATTTGTAAAGTATTTTTTGCATTAACCCTCAACTGGTAACAACCTACAATATTACACTGCGACTAACATACGTCCGACAGACGCGGTTTTTGGAGGATTTCTTGCAGAAAATGTACCTTAACCATATAAAATACAGTAGCATGAAAAGAGTTGTAGAGAATCTACTCATTGGTAGCAATCTAATAAAGTATCTAAATTAGAAGATCACGAGGCCATGTTTGTTTCAGACGCCTCCGGGGGTTATCAGAGATCGAAGAAGAAGCAAGATTAGAAACGAAAGGTATAGGATAGTTTTGAAATTTATCTTTTATATTTAAATTTAGTTTTACATTTTAAAAATTAAAAAATATGTATAAACGTGTATATTACCAGTTGAGGGTTAAGTAAATACCAGGGACTGAAACGCTAAACAAAAAACTTTTAAAAACATTTCGGTATCATCGCAATTTTTATTGTCGACATTTTTTTCAGTTCTTATGAAACTCGAACTTTTTCCCTTAAAACTTTTCAAGTAAAGGTTTTATTAATTCCTTTCAGGTACAAACGTGAAACGTATGCAAATACTAACATAAGTAAATGAAGTGGGAGACCTATGTGTTTTAAGTAGTACAATATAGAGAAAAAGAATTTTATTTATTTTCTTACGCGTCATAGACAATTGTTAAACATATATGTACATGCTTAAAGTTGTACAGGTATGTATGTTTATAAAAGAATTGGTTAATCGATCTGTCAATAATAATTTATTTGGAATTTTTATCAATACTTCATTTCTAAAAAAATAGAAACATTTGCGTTTCTTTCTCAGATAGTTCAAACGTAGTAATTCATTAGGAGTTGCAATTAACATCTTTCAAAACGAATACAAAATTAAACAAACAATAAAGAATAATAAATAAATTTCAGTATAACGAAATGCATTTGTTCATAGCTATCATGTAAGGGCGAAGTACAATTTTTGAACTTGCACAGACACGTACGGTCCAAAGTTTAAACAATGATTTCTTAGAGAATATTTCAATTTGCATTTATCCTCTCTTGTAATAGATCATAGAAGGGTTGTTAAATATTCATGTATATTCTATTAGATTTATAATTTCATTCACTGAGGTATGGTTTATTTAAAAATAAAAATTTATTAAATTCGTCATTACCTTACTTTGTAATAACTGAGAAGCTTTCTCGTTATTTCCTCAAAGATTTGTAATTTCTTAAGCTGGTATTAATAGTAATAGACTTCAGTTATATCTGAATTATTATGAGTGTACGAAACGCACCGGTACACAGCTGACAATATAATGAGGTGACGATGTAGTATGCCAGTCTTACCACCACTGAATAATAAATACTAGTATCAAAATATTTAAAAAAATCGTAAATCCTTCTTCCCATGCTCCTTAAAAACCTTTAAAATGTATATGAATCGTATGTTTAAAGATTTAAAAAAATAAAATTAGTCAAGGATACGAAATTAAATAAAATCAGAGCAACCATCGATGTCAAATCTATGAATAAAATGATACAAGAATATTAATATTTGTAACATGATAAAAGTACAATAATTTTTAAAGATTTATAATGTTTACAATACATGGGGCAAGTTCCTTAATTCAGTGCTGAACTCATCGTTCTAAACTGGTAGAAAAGATGTCACCGATGAGTTCAATGATGAGTTTAGGAACATAGTCATATTTATACACATACATATTTCCCCATTATTTTCAATTTGATATTTCAAAAAGGATTATGTTTTTTTAAAGGTAAGAAAAAAGGTATGCATGGATGTATATATTTTTTCAGAAGCTATTGAACGAACTCTCTTTAAACAGAATAAGACCGAATAAACTTTTTTTTTAATTCAGACACTGTGCTGCTATATCCTGGAAACGAGATCTAGTCCGGTTTTAGCAGATAATTATTTATTCTGAATAAAAAAGTCTGGTGCGCACAATACACAACATTCACTTACCACTCTGCTTTGAATATAAAATATTTTCTGGCGATGTTCAGCTATTATGAAATTTTCGTAGTGAATTTTAAACGGAGCTAAAGCTTAAAGCTTACAGATAACAAATCATTAATACCATTAAAATTACAAAACTCTATTTATTATATCCACGGTACTCAATAAAAATATAGTTACTCCATCTGCTTTTATAAACCACATAACTTCAGCCTCAGAGCCTTTTTAGTTGACAGGATGACTAACTCCAATTTCAACATTTTTGAGTAATGTCATTTTAGTGATATTTCTAGTTGGATAAGTTATATCTACACAGACAGTGAGTAAGTTGATTCCAGAGTAGGTGATTGCAGTGTTGAAATATATAACTGTGAATAAAGGTATAGATTTTGCCACTAGAAAAAGCACTAAAATTAATAATAAAGAATGCTGAAAGTAAGTCATTCTGTCAACTGAAAGGCTCATATATGCCTAGAGAGATTTGAAAGTACAGCTGAATATTTAACCTATAAATGATTACGGATTGGAGCACTATTAGTTGTTAAACTGTTATTTTCCATAATAAAGTTTACTAAAATGAAATTAGGATATTTTCATAGCCCATCATGGATATGTCAAAATTTGTTACACTAATTAGCAATTTCATCTTCTAACGGGTCACTTGATGGTTTTTCGGAATAAACGGCCGATATATACCAAATTATTTAAATATAATATCATATCTAGAGTTATTAACCTACAGTAAATGTATTTAAGGTTATATCCATGAAATATTTTCCAACAATAATAAAGTTTCCTTACTTTTCCTTGGAAACATGTGATTTAAGTTAAATGATGGTAGTTTTTATTCAAAAGAGAGATGGTTAATTATTCAAAATAAACCAAATTAAAGGAACTTTAGAGAAAGACGTATATGAACATTGGATATTTAAGCCCTGCAAAGTGACATCAATGGGGATAAGACCTAAATGATATTAAAGAACTCTTAATTATACAATGATACATCGAGCTTAATCAAGATGAGAAAACTGTAAAAATGTATTTCACCGTTGATATAAAGTGGCACTTCCGGTTGCCCTATTTAATGCAGAAAGTTGCTGAAACATCTAAGGCATATACCTACCATAATAAATACGTAATATCAGTTTCGTTTTTGAGCTAGACTATTTACATACATACACAAAGACCATTTTGCGGAACTTCATTATTTGGACTTATTGGACTCAAAACATGTATTTCCTTTGAAAACTCAATTTTGAAAATTTCCACGATCGCAATACTTTATCTTACTATATATTACGTATATAGGTAGTGAAAGTAAAAAATCTAATAATTTTACATGTTTTACTTAAATTTATTTATAAATAATTAATGTAAATTCTAGAAGAAATATTCTTCTGAAGTCAGCCAACTTAGCGTTGCTCTGGATGCATTTAAGAAGCCCTTAGGGACTGAATAAGCTTCAACTCAGCACATTTTATCCAACATTCTTCTTATTTACCCCCATTCTCTTATATTATCATGAAATGTGAATTTTTCATATTATTACTTTATTATTGTTTTTTATTTGTTTAGAATAAATTAGCTGTTATATAAAGTAAGAATTTATTAGTTTGAGAAAATTATAGTTGTATTTATTTCTGTCTAGCAAGTCATACGTTTGACAACATTCATACATTAAAATACACTGTAACATTTATTCGCTCTTTATTTTATTTGTTCATTTATTTTTATTCAGCTTCAATTAATTTTCTCTTCATATTTTTATATACAATCGTTTGGATTTAACTTCGAGAAATAAATGCTTGGTGGTTTTTCTTATTGTTCATTTTTTTTTTTTTGTAGTTATATTGTATTTTCAGATTCAGTTTTACGTCTTGTTTTTGAGTTTTATTGTTCTTACGCTTTCGAGTATTGATTTCTGAAAATAAGTGTTTCAATATTTTCAATAATAATAAATAATAATAATAAAAGGCTTAGCGAACCCGAAGGTTCGATGCCGACACCACCAAACGCTTATTACACAGTTCCCTCCACCGTTCGCCGTCCAAACCCAGTCCCTTCAGATCGGCTTTAATGCAATCTTCCACCTTCGTCTCGGTCTACCCCTCGGATGTTTACCATTCGGTACAGCAAATATTAACCTTTTAGGAATCCTCTCGTTCCTGAGCCCAACAATTTTACAAGCCCATTTGATTCGCCGCGATGAAATCACCTCAATTATATTACCCGAATACAGTTCACGCAATTCGGCGTTGTGTAACCGTCTGAACTCATCCTTCTTCCGTCCGAATATTCTACGCAATACTCTATTTTCAAAAACCTTAATACGTTGCTCATCCCTTAATGTAAGCGGTCAAGTTTCGCATCCGTAAAGAACTGTAGGTAAGATAATGGTTTTATAGATTCTAGTTTTTAAGTACCGGGACAAGATGCGCGAGCTAAGTAGTTTTGTTACAGAAAAATAACAAGCATTTCCCGCCTTCAGTTTAACCTTAATCTCTTATTAAATTTCGTGTTTTCTAGTTATCGTAGAACCTAGATACCTAAATATCTCTACCTGTTCAAACATGTTGCCATCTATATCGATATCACCAGTAGTATCGCCATTTTTGCAGCTAACCATATATTTTGTTTTATCCGCGTTTATTTCGAACCCTAGTCCTTTACCGTCTTTATTGGCTTTTATTACAGCCCATGTGCTGGGAAAATGCCCCAACAACTCCTTCCTCATAACACGTCGTCACCACCGGGTTCAGTTCGAGTTGATGAGGCTCCTTAGGGAAAGGAAATTCACCTGCTCTGACGAGGTATATTGCATCGATAGTAAAGACTCTACGAGATACGCGGATATCATCGCATTTTTCAATACAGGAAGGACAGCGCTGATCTTGGATCCAACTGATTTGAGAGCAATGACCTCGATCAAGCTAGTGAAGTGGAAAGGGAAAAGAAGAAAACTTACGATAAATGTATCCCTTTCCTAAAAGAGAAATTCCGTGAGACCTTCGGAGAGAGAGAGAGAGTTCACCGTGAGAGGCCTCTGGTTTGGGTCTCGCGGAACTATCCCAAAAAGAACAAGGAAATTCCTCGAGGAACTAGGTGTCGACATTAAGGACGTAGCGAGGTTGGCTGAAAATACAGTCCTCGACTCCCTGGGAATCATTCACCCCCACGTGCATGGCTAGCCCGAGAGTTTTAATTTATATATTTATATATTTATTTAATAAAAAATTGAAACCAATAGAGATAAAGAGAGAGAAGTGAGAGAAAGGGAATGATAAATGTTAAAAAAAAAAAAAGCATGAACAATGAAAGGAAGGAAAAAAAAGAATTTCTATTTTACTAATATAAACTAATACTTCTGTATATTTATATATAAGTTCATTTATTGTTCTAAGGATTGAAGAGTATACTGTGTATATAGCAACCCAATATAATTGGGCAGCAATCTTTTATATTTTATATTTTTATGAAAATAAAGTGTTTCTCTCTCTCTTTATTGAAAATATTGGGAATCGACCCATCGCCAACGGGAATCCTTTTTAAAGCTCTTGACGTCTATTATAACCACTTCAAATATTTCACAAGACTTATAAGTCATAAATGGGACACTCCTTGTTATCTAATATTATCTAATACATGTTATGAAGAAATTCTGTGAATGACTTCATAACATGTATTAGATATCATCATTTTCAAGTGAAAAGATTCAATGAAATAAATCTGTATATATCGTCAAATAAAAATGATATTTACAAAACAAGAAATAACGTGACTTAGAAACTTAACCCAACCAGAAAACAGATCCATATATCAAAGATAAAATGAATGCAGAGGTTGATTCACTGTAGCAGGAGGTGAGCCCTCAAAACACCAAGCCAGGCTTTATATATCCCTGTACTAGTGGAAACACAAACCAGCACAAACAGCCCAGCGCAAAACAAACTATCTTTGCTCTCGCTGTCCCATAGTTAACATTCGGGTGGATTAAAAAAACTTTTGGTGTCCAATACGTTAGTAATTCTAACTAAAAATAAAAGAATAACTAATAAACGTAAAATTTTTAAGAAGAAAAAAATACTGTAAAAAGTTTGCAATTAAATTTCAAAATTCAGACTACCTTCTTAACTCCTACGTATTTTTCAATGCAAGTTACTTTTTTGAATACATATTATTTTATCCAAACGATAAACTTTTCAAAAGTGGACGTATCTCTTGTATCCATTTTAGATGAATTTTTTATTTTTATTTCACGACTTTTACAACATTGATCATATGTCATAACCAAATATAAGTTGAGTTATATATATCCTAGTTTAAAATAAATCCCTAGAAAAAAAATACATATAGGCTCTAAAAATATTTTTTTAAATATAACAAATATGAAAATTATGTTTCTAACAAATAATAAAATTATATGTCTTTATGTATTTTTAAATTTGTTTAATAATCTACTTGAAAATAAAAAATCTAAAGACATCCCAATAGTCTTCAATTATAATTTTCTATTTGAAATTGTTACATTTTAAAAACTATTTTTAGAACCAATATGTGTTGTTTTTTCCTAAGGATAGATTTTATAGTAGGTTATTAAATAAAATGAAAACTCGCCTAAAAATAATGACGTAAAATTAGTTAACACATTGTCAATTTTACATTTAAACGAAACACTTTTATCTATCCAAAATTTGTTATACAAATAAAATGTTTCCTAAAAAATAATTTTTGCATGTGAACACCAGCTATAAGGAAAGACTGGTTTTTTAGACAATTTTATTAATTCAAAAACCTTTTACTTTTAAGGACCATATGTTCCTATTTTTAAATTTAGGGATTTTCGATACCTAGGACTCCACCAGGACAAACGACTCACTTGGAACCCTCATACCAGACTGAAACGACAAGAAATCGCTCGACTACTTCAACACTTACTAGACAAACGCTCTAAACTTTCTATATATTTCGAAAGACTCATATACATGACTATAAGGCCAATTTGGACTTACGGAATTTAGCTTTGGAACTCCAATAAACCATCGAATTCCTCTCGTATGAAATCCTTACAATCCAAAATCCTTCAGAAAATCCTCCTTAGTAAATGATCCTTACTTTTCACAAATAAAATCATTCATAACGACCTTAACGTACCACATGTTTCCGATTCAGCCCGATCCAGATACCTATCCTTCCATAACAAATTTCAAAAACATCCGAACCCTTGCTTCCTCTTCGATACCTGATAATCCTCCAAGGTGTCTGAAAAGAAGATGGCCTCGTGATCTACTTATATAAATATATTATTGGAGTGCTACCAATGAGTAATTTCTCAACAAGCGTTTTCATGTGATTGTATTATTTATGTGTGCACATTTACTAGATGTATTTTAAATTCAATACCGTTGTAAATATCATGCGTAAATTTAAAAAAAATTGGGAATTTGGCGTTACACCTCTTTGTTAACAGACAGACGCCTCAGTTAATGAACTCGAACAATTTGTTATGGAATCCATCCAAACGTATATCTATATACATGTTTCTTTTTACTGTGAGTTTATTTTCAATATTTAGTTTAAAATTGTTTAATGTAAACTCCATCATCTCATTCCACCATTTAATTATTTACTTATAGTTTACACACTTCTATATTATTTACTTTGTTATAGATATAACTATTGCATATCTTATTTTTGTAACCCAGAAGAAGGCCTTTTATGTTTGCCGAAATATGCGCATTCATTAAATATTTCATTGTTATTTTTATGTTAATCTTGACCGCAAGTCTAACAATCTTGTCAATTATCAAAACGGCCAAATATCTAATACTAAAAATATATTTTATTTATTAGCATAGTTACATTTTAAAGTTTCACTGCATGTTACAAGTTTAAAAAATTAAGTCTCATAGTTCAGTCAGTAAAATTATCTCTAATGCTTCATAGTTGTAAAGAGTACAGAATAAGTACAACAAACGGATAATTACAGCAAGATTAACTTAATGCAGAACAAGGAGATATAACTTATCATCATTGCTACTTTAAGAAGAGGAAAGGGCATCAACTTTTTATCCGGAATGTCTTCATTTAATCTCAGAGCTCCAGCAGTATTTGTTAGTACCACTCAATTTTATTTGTCGGCTTATTGCTCCAATAATTAATAAAGATTAGACAAGAGTAAACGAAATGACATAATAGTCAAATAAGTCAAATAATCAAAGAACTGAGGATCTTTTTTAGTTAGACAATAAAATCATGATGATATAGAGATGGTTGACCGTGATATAATATGAGATAGAGTTGGTTGGTTGGTGCGGTCAAATAAATAATAAATTTAAAATAAAAAAAAACACAGTATTTTTAATTGTTTCGCCGACGTTTCGACCCACCTTGTCGGTCTTCATCAGGGCTACAAAAGATACAAAATATAAAAGGCACAGGTGAAAATAAAATAAATGAGTTATAAGTAGATATATTAAATAAGAAACAGTTGTCTGATAAAGAAATAATAACATGACATCAGAGATATAGTGGGTGACAGTGTAGTTAAAATATCAAGTATTATATATATATATATATATATATATATATATATATATATATATATATATATATATATATATATATATAGAAGATACAAACAAAAATAGAAAATAAGTATGAATAAAAATAGAAATCATAGGAGAATATGGAGAATATGAATGAAATATGGTATCAAGTGCTTTCTGCAGTGCCACGGTATGTATGACTTGTATTATGATTCTTTCTTAACACACCTTCAAGTACATACCTTAAGTCCAAGATATTAAACTTTATCTGTTAGAGAAATTTGGGCATTGTCAAGGTGAATAGGAGTGCAAGTTTCATGTCGAAGAGTGAAAGTAATGTGTTGGGATTTTCTTGGTTGTGTTTGCAACATTCATTAAGCTTTGTTCGATAATGTGATTCAAATAAATATTTGATAGAAAAATATGTAAATTTTAATCAAAAGACATAATCGAAAATTGATAAAATACATAAACTCTAAAACGTACAATCAAGCAAATAATGCCAAGCTATTTTAGTAAGCGATGACAGGTATAATTTATTAGCCGGTAGATCCAATAGGGGATAAGAGATATGGACATTTAATCTACACGAGCCTAGGCTAACCGAAGCCCCCCTCGGCGTTTTACAACACCTGATTGATCTAGGGGGGGGTTCGAGAGGGGGACTTAGGGGGGCGGGATTATTTCTGCAAGGCTGGCCCCCCAAAGCCGCCTTTAAAACTTGGCACATTTTGAATGCCATCGCCTTGGATATATTACCCGCCCTGCTTTACAGACTTTGGGAAGGGGAGGGGGGGATCTTTTGTAGTCGATCCGATATTAATGTATTTAAGGGAAGCTCCTTCAACTAATACTCATCCTTTCAGAATTCTTATAAGATCCACGTTCGTATGTAGCTAAATGCGGGTGATTCGCTTGAGTAAATTTAATTTGATTCATTTCATGAAGTTTAATTAGGAGGGAGTCATATCCAAAACTATTTCATACCGTCCTTCAGTTTGCGGAGAAATAAATTTCACCGTTTTGAAGCAGTAATTCCAGTTCTTAATTAACTTCATACAAGTTATAAAGTATTTCAACAGCTAAATATCTTAAGAAGTTATACTTGACTAATGCATCATTACCATTCAATCGGGTGACAATAAACGAATCCTTTAAAGAATCTTAAATCTTTCATAAATTTGATAATTTCATTTCGAGTCAACTAAGATGCAATAGAGATAACTGGAAAGAAATAGCTCAAGATAGGCAGAGGTGGAGAAGACTGATTAAGACAGTAAAAGACCGATAAGGTGTGTATTCGCTACCGAAAAAAAAAACATTTTCAGGTTTGAGTACACTGCCCAAACATCAGGAATAAGCTTAAAATGCGAAATACCATATTTCCCAAAGGGCTCGTATTCGCCCGGTTGAAACTAGTGTTGCCAAAATGCGAGACCGAGACGAGTCTTAGTCTTGCGCAAGAGTCTCGCAACGGTCTTGCAGTTACATATTAGCTTAGTACTATAGAGATATTACTGTATTTTTTTAGATAGGGGAAACCTAACTAAGCCCGAATGAAAAATTAGAAGAGTTAAATGCAAAAGTATATTGGTAATACCAATTCTTTACATATAGTAACTAAAATTGTCAAGCATTAGTAA